CACCTGTGAACCAGTTAGAAATGCAGATTCTCACTTCCCACCTGGATTTAGTGAATCAGAAACCCTGGGGACCAGGCCCAGCAACCTATATTTTACTAAGCTCTCCAGAGCTTCTGATGCACGTTGAAGGATGAGACTACCGCTCTGTTTCCATCACCATCTATGCCAAGAAGCCACCAGACAGGCCCAGGTGCTGTTTAACTTTCCTAAACCAAATTGACTTACCAGCTGCCTCCTGGGTTCCAACCCAGGTTGACAGGATTTGAATTTCTCCAGGGTAGGAGGAAAGGATTGACCTATATCTTTAACTAGCATCCCAGGTACTTCTTGTTCTGAGGGAAGTTTGGAAGCCCTTAGTGTACAGCTGATATCACTGTAGTGATCTGCTAGTCAGCTGCTGGGGTGAAAGTCTTCCTGTGAACCTAGCATTCAGGAAAGGGAAGAGAAATAACATTTACTGAGCAAGGACTGTGGGCCAGCCACTGTTGTAGACATTTCGCATACGTTACTTCCTGCTGATGTTTATAACAACCTTATGAGGTTGTTTGTGCTCAGAAAATCTAAGTCTTTACCCTAGGTTACTCAGTAAGAAGCAGGGCTGGGATTCACCCCCAGTACCCTTCTGTGTGACCTCCAGCATGGCCAGCTCCACTTTTCTCTGACGTGTCAAAGGTTTGCAGGACCTTCTTTTGTTTTTCTTCTCCTTTTTTCCCTTTTAATGAAATAAGATCCTCTATTCTGCAAATACTTATGGGTCCCCTACTGTGTTCAAGGTATTGTACACAGGGGTGTACAGTGTTTAAATGCAATTCAAGAAGCTCTCAGACAACAGAAGGCACTTGAAAGGTAGTGAATTTGGTGGCTGGGAATGCAGGGTCAGGATGACCTTGGGATTGAGTGCTAGTCCTACCCCTTATTAGCTGTGTGAAGTTGGTTTTTGTTTGTTTTGGTTATTTTTTTGTTCTGTTTTAAACTTAGTTTCCTCATATGTGCAAAAAGGACACAGTAATGCCTCTCTCATAGTGGGCAACTCCTTGATCAAGGGACTGCACAGGTTGAGGACCCAGTAAATGACTCTTACTTGAAACTGTTATAATGAAACTGTTACTGTTTTTAGTTTATTATTGTTGCCAGCTGTAGTACATGCCCTAGTAAATTGGCCTCCACTTTTCCTAAGAGTTGATATTTATATTTATAAAGTGACACTAGTTTGGTTAAATATTACTAAAAAACCCCTAAATGTCATGTTCCTGTAATCATTCCCTTGTTGCCCCCCCATCACCGCTACCTGCAGAACCCCAATTTTCCTCTTCCTAAATACATGTTCTCCTTCCTCCTTTGGGAAAATATTTTGTTAAGGTGCTGAGCTGTGTACTGAGTATATAGGAGTTAAAGGAGATGTAGAAAATGAACGAAAATTAGCCTGTCCTTACTCAGGTGGCCACTCCAGCCTGGTGGTTCTCTTTGGACCTCTTTCCATTTGTATGTTGCCTCACAAACATTCTTTTCTCCGATGCAATGCTTGGTATATGGTTCACGTTGGTCTCCGGTAAATGTTGCCAAAGCCACATGGGACCAATGTGTATAATTGCAAAGATTTGAGAGGTTTTTGATTAAAGGGGCAACTTAGACCCATGGGAGGGATCTTGGTGGAGATGGTTGTTGGTTATGTTCTCTCAGTGTAGCAATTCTTGCACATAGGCCTGGATAGTTTTAGAACAGCCTTATAGAAAAGGATATTTATAATGTCCCTGTGGGTTTTTGTTTGTTTGTTTGTTTTTGGCCAGGAAAACGGGGGGCAATGAATAACACAAGCCCACAGGTTTAGGGTCGCATGGAAGGTTCTAGAAGGAAAAAAAAAAGTGACAGAAGTGGTCTTGGTGATCTACAGTTTGAATTAAGTAACACTAAAGTCTCATAATTTTATTTGAAAATTTTAATCTGTGTTCATGTGAACTGTTAAGGTACACTGATATTAAAAAAAAAAAACAAAACCACAGGTGACTCTTGCAGGTCTGCACAAATAGCCTAGCCCTGGTCATCCATGTGAGTTCCGTTTCATTTCTTGCTGGCTTATACTATGTATTTTGAAGAGAGGATTAAAGGAGAAGGGACACAAAGTTAAGACAATAGTGGAGTATAAGCAAGTTGGTAGTATGAATCAAAAGTCATAAAGATGTCCATACTCATAATATAAAAATTCAATTTGGGGTTAACTTAAGAAGTTAATTTAGAATATGATTAAAAAAAAAAGCCATATACACATTATTCATTGCTATGTCACTAGTAGGGGTCAAAATTTGGAAGCAATCTTGATGCCCCTAATAAGGATGTGTTTAAATTTCTATTCAAGAAAACGTTGTGTACTTTTAAAAAGAATAATTATGAAGATTATGTAGCAACATAGAAAATACTTAAAATGTCATGCCTTAAGGGAAATGAACTGGAAATCACACCACCCAAATGAAAAAGATGGAAAGGAAGTATATCAAATGATAGCAGCTGTGTTTGGGTAATGGCATGATGGTAGTTATTTTCTCTTTTTCACTCATGATTATTTTAATCAGTTTTCCAATTTTATAAATTGGAAAACCAATTAAAAATCCCCAAATTAAAAAGCCAGTACTTAAAGCCAGAAATAATGAAGTAGGGTTACTTTAAAGTTGGCTGTTCTGCACGGAGCTTCATGAGGGATTTCACATGGGACAAAATCACGAACAGTTACTGCAATTTGCAGGGGGTGTGCATTTATTCTAAGAGTTGTGGGGTGGTTGGAAAGACAGTGGAATAATAGCAACAGAAACTAGACCCTCCCACCCCCAGCTGCTGGTAATTGAACGTAGGGCTTCAAGAAGCAATTTCTGCCCATTCAAACTGCAGCTCATCCCTGGAGACTACCCTGGGCAGACCATTGTGATGGTGATGGCGGGGATGTGGGCCAGCCTCCACTACAGCTCCCTGAGGGTCAGGCGTTTGATGGAGGGCCTGGACAGCTGTCTCAGCTTGGGGTTGCTGGTCATCAGAGACAGGGCAGTATGTGCAATGTTGACCCAGAGGTGAACAGTCCCCTTTCTCAGACCCACTCCCTGGAGGCAACAGTCCCTCCAGTTTCTAATCCAAACAACCATTAATCTTTCTCTGGGTTAAAAGGCCAGGAAAGCAAGTTTTGCTCTCTATTTTGATACTGTACTTGTCTGTATTTTACAAAAGTGGACTGACTTCACTGACCACTGGAAAACACCCCACAGCTGTGTCCACAGCTATGCAGAAATGCCAAGCCCAGCACAGCCGTTCTGGTGCATGGAGAAGTGAGAGGAGTACAAAACGAATAGGCTGTTTATTGTGGCACTTGACAAAAATCATAAACTTGATGTGCTTGAAACAAGTCAGTATTGTATATCATAAAACAAGTTAGGGATACACATGTATTTTAAGTGAAAATTCCACCAAATGTGGTATTTTTGTGAAAGTGATATTATACAAACTTTTGAATATTATTCTAATTTTTCTTGCCGTAGCCAATAAATTAATCCATATAAATGGAGCTATAACCCCCAAGAACTTTTTCATCTTTTAAAGGTAATAAGAACTAGGATTTGACTTAGAAAAATATACTTGTTGTCTTAGAAATAGCAAAGTGTTTGGTTTAAAGAAATGGGCTGAATTTCTTCCCTCACACTCTTTTAATAGCTGGTTAGTCAAGAAACACCTCTTTTCCATATTCTGAAATTGTAAGGACCAACATGATGGGTATTAAGATAAAAAAACATGAAGTCTTCCTAAATCTGTTTCTTCATGCCTGACCTTTAAATCCTTCCTCTACAGAGTCATCATCAGTATGAATACCAAACACTCCTCCTGGTGAGTCACATTTAGACATCTGGCTACTGGTAGTAAAGGTTCGAACATTTGAGATCGAGAATGCATTTTTGTGTCTCAAATTATTTTACATTTCCCAAACTCAAAATCACACAGTAAGGACTATGGGATACATAAAATCTAGGCATAGTATCTTCAAGCTGGAAGAGGCCTTGGTCTCTTGAGTAAAACTCAAGACCAAGGGACTGGAGTGGAGCCCACAGCCCTTGACCCCTAACCTAATGTCATTCTAGTGATGCTACATCACCTTGTAGAATATAAGGGTTCTAGATCTTGACTTTTTTGGGAGGGTGGGTTGATGGAGAAACGCATACATGTTTTTTGCTGTGCCAAAGCTGTTTTGAGACCTTAACAACTTTTACTCAAGTTTCCTGAAGGATCTCAGATAGCCAGAGAGTTTAGCTGTACTCTCAGTCACACAGCTTCTGCCTTCACAACCCATGATACTCATGAAATGCTGGAGTGAATTTTAGCTAGTTATGGTCTGCAAAGTATAACTGAAATTCTGTTGGTACTGTCCTATGCTTGCCTTTTGGCCACTTGGTATAAATGATTTGAGTGTTCTGTAGGAATTAAAACTATACCCTAATGATATCATTTCTAAGCCAAAAATACATTCATGCATATAATAAACATAAACCAAATTTTTAACAGTGGCTGTCTTCTGGATGGTACAGTAGGAACAAATACTTTCTTTTGTGTTTATCTCTGTATTACCAGTTTTTGGTACTGACCATATTTTATGTTTATAGTTAGAGAAACCTATCAACATTATCTCAGTGTTATTTAAAAGATCTTAATAAAGAACTTTATACAGACAAAGTGGGCCTGGCCAGGCTGAAGGCAAGTAATGCACTTCTCTTGCATTTTCAAAAGTCCTGATGTTATTATATATACATAACTTAGTCGATTAAAACTTTAATTCTATTTAAAACATGACTAAATCCCAAGTACACCGAGATCCACATTGCCAAAGCTGGTGCAGGCAAAAAACATCAGTGTGGGAACCTTTATGAGGAGAAATGAGCTGTAGAAGTTTCTGGAGGCTGGGGATAGCAGGCAGATGACCATCCTTAGATTCTACTTGCAAGGCTGAAGTCTATAAACTGCAACACTGCTTCCTTTTGAATTAATTTATTCTGAGCACCAAACATATCTTTCCAAAGAGGGAATTACCGTGTAGGATGTTAGTGTTTTTCTCAAAGGAACAATTTATTTATCTGAGGATCAGTCTCTAATATTTTACCTCTTTGGGTCTGTTTTAATCCTTAAATATTAGTTACTAGTACTTTTATAAATTAAGATGAATCTGACCTAAAACAATGAGGTGGAATTTTTCTGTTCTGCCCCTTTATTTCTTTGGCCCTTTTAAAATCAGAAAATGTGCTTGTTGTAACAAAGCCAAACAATATAGATGTTGATGAAATAAAAACAGGAAGTATAAGACATAAAGTGACTATTTTCTCAATTCTCTGTACCCCAAATTCCATTTCTCCAGTGATAACTTTTAATATTTTGACATGTCTCCTTTTCTGTCTCTCTAGACATATATTTATATATAATTTAGTAAGTAAAAGTCAGACCATGTAAAGATATAATTGTTCTGCTTTTTTCCAGTTTAGTGGTATATCACAGGCATATTTCCAATAGATTTATCTCATTCTTACTGATAGCACTATAGCATTCCATTACTTAATATACTGTGATTTATCTCTATACTATTAGTGACTATTTAGGTTCTTTCGTATTTTTTATTAGGAAATGTGCTGCCAGAAACACCCTTGACATACTTCTTAACATGCTTATGCTAGTATTTCTATAGGATAAATTTCTAGACTGGGGTTACTGGGCATAGGATATGTACATTTATGTTTTTGATAGATACTGAGTTTTTGCCCATTTGGTAAATAGAGCAGTGGCAATCTGTGGGGTTTGGGGCAGGAACATGGATCCTTAAAGTCTAGCCCAAGGTCTGACATAGTGGTCATTTTCCCACCGTTTTATGGAAGTAGCTTGACTTTGAGCACAGGGAATCTTTTGCAGGATAAGTTTGTATCACATTCAAAACTGGTAACAGGTATGTTTTATGTGGAGTTGAAAAGACAGTTCTGGCTAGCTTGGCTTCTGTTGTTAGGACTGTGATGGCCAGTGGTAATTCTATCAGCGAGAATGAAAATTAATATAGTTTCATTGAAGCTTCAAACAGAGCAGACAGATCCTCTTCTGACTGAGGGCGTGGTGCAAGCTTGGTGACCCTTTCCTGAAACAGGAAGCAAAAAGGATTTACCCAGGATTTTGAAAAGATAGTTTGTTAAAGCTACTAGGTTATGTAAGTTAACTTGGCAGTAAGAAACTTGAGAATGGTCCTATCTTTAAAAATCTTATTTCTTGTTTGCTTCATGCTAGCTGGTCCCCCAGCTCAGAAGTTTATCAAGTGACTCCGCTTTCCCACAAAGCTTTCAAAAGCCATTGCTTTTGCCTTATGTTCAGAAGCCAGTAGCCTTCTGCCCAAAGTACAAAACCTAATGAACCTCGGGTACAATGCAATACTGATCAAACTCCATTGGACAGCAGTCTCGGCCAGGGGAGGGTCTCTGTGCAGAAACCACTGTCCCAGGCATAGCAGGTGCTGCCAAGGAAATAGAACTGGGTTGTCCTTCACTTAAAAGACAAAGTATTTTGCAACTTGGACTCAAGGTATATTCAAAAAGACTTCACTAGGACATCATCTTTCAGGCTGTGGACAATAAGTGACTCCTTTTTAATATGAACTAAGGTTTTATTTCTACCTTCCTAAATGAATTCAGTGACTTGCTCAATTTCTCCTGTTAGTGAGTGAAATCAGCAAAGATGGCACACCCTCTTTTAATGTATACCCCCAGCTGGGTCTCCTTAATCCTAATGGGACAGGAGATTAAAAGATACCATAATGACTACCCTGTGTCCAAATTTCTGGGCCTAAATGAAATTAAGGTATATGCCAGAGTTTGGGTTCCATTCTCTTGGGCCTCTTAGTTTGTTTTCTTAGGATAAGTACTTGTGTGGGAGCATAGCTGGTAGGTGAGGCAACTCCATGAGGGCAGGGCTGTGCCCATTCTTCGTGCCCAGTGCCTGCTAGGGTGCTCGACAGTTCTTTCTTGAATTAATGAAAATGGTGTGAGGGGGGATATCGGCATCTCAAAATTCACATCATCAGGACAGAACGGACTCCACCTGCCTCCCATTCTTCTCATCACAGCAGTGACACCCAGTCACTCAGGGAGAAGCCTAGGAGTCCTCTTGATTCCTCTTTCCCTTCTCTAATCCACCAGCAAATTTGTCAGATCTACCTCCAAAGTCAATCCCCAATATGACCACTTATCACCTCCTGTTCCACCACATCCAAGTCTAAGTCATCCTGACTCCCGCCTCCAAAAGTCTGTTTCCACTTTTGCTCTACTCTCTCCCCTTGGAGGCCATTTCCATACAGCCCAGAGTGATAACTTCCCTCCTGTATAAATTTGTTCATATCATTACTTGCTTAAATGCTCTTTTGGGGCTTCCCATTGCAATGACAAGACCATGGCCTCCAATGCCACTCTGTTCCTGCCTTGCAGCTCACCTCAGCGCTGATTATTCTTCCATCAGTTCATCTCAGTTAACCCCACCATCCCCTCTGAGTCCCACAAAAATGCTCATCTTCACCCTGTCTCAGGTCCTTTTCCCTTTGCCTGGAGCACTTCTCCCACATCTCTTCTCCTAGATCTTAACATGGCTGCCTTCACCTCTAGTCAGAAAGCTCTGTGACCACTCTTGCCGGAGTTCCTGCCACACTGTCCCAGGTAAAATCACTATCCCATTACCCAGGTTTCCCTTCATACCACTAATCATTATCTGAAATGATTTCATTTGTATCTTATTTGTATATTTGATTAGATGCCCATTGTCTGTCTTCTCTCACTAGAATGTAAGCTCCTTGAGGGAATGAAGAGATTTCATTTTCCTCCTTCCTGTATCCCATTCAATGCATGGTATATAGTAGGACCTCAGTAAGTATTTGTAAGGTAAAAGGGAGAATGAAAATAGGAAGGATGTATTAAAAAATTAACTCAAAATAGGCCTAAATGTAAAGACTTAAATCTAAGAGCTAAAATTAAAACTCTAACTAAAAACTAAAACTAAAAACTAAAACTAAAACAGGAAAATTTCATGTTAGATTTGGCAATAATTTCTTGGATATGACACCAAAAGCACAGGCAATTAAAAAAAATAGGTAAATTGGACTATATCAAAATTTAAAACTTTTATGCATCAAAGGACACTCTCAAGGGTTGAAAAGACAACTCAATGAGCAAAGTATTAGCAAATTATAGATCTGATAAGGGGTTAATAGCTAGAATATATAAATAATTACTACAACTCAACAGCAGAAATCCCCAAACAAACCAACTAAAAATTAGGCAAAAGACTTGACTAGATATTTCTTGAATGAAGATATATAGCCAGTAAGCACATAAAAGATGCTCAACATCTTTAGTCATTAGCAAAATGCAATTCAAAACCACAATGAGTTCTCACTTCCCATCATCAGGACAGTTATGCAAAAAATGGAAAATAAGAAATCTTGGTGAAGATGTGGAGAAATGGGAACCCTCATGCATTGTTGATGGGAATGTAAAATGATGCAGCCTCTATGGAAAACAGTTTCGCCGTTCCTCAAAAAGATAAACAGAGAATTACCCTATGATCCTATAATTTTATTTAGGTATATAATCGACTGAACTGAAAGCAGGGACTAAAACATATTTGTACACCAGTGTTCATTGTATCCCTATTTACAATAGCCAGAGGGTGGAAACAACTTAAGTGTCCTTCTGCAGATGAAGGGATAAGCAACAGGTGGCATATCCATGCAATGGAATATTACTCAGCCATAATAAGGAATGAAATTCAGACACATCAAAGATTGATGCTAAGTGAAGACATTATGCAGACACAAAAGGGCAAATGTTTGACTGCTCTTATAATGAGGTAACTGCAATAGATAAATTCATAGAGACAAAGGATAGAATAGAGTTTATCAGGGGCTGGGAAAGGAGAGTTATTATTTCACCATTAAGCAATAAAGCAGAGCTTCTATTCGAAATGATTAAAAAGTTATAAAGATGCATAGTAGTGATAGTTGCTCAACACTAAGTGTACTCAGTGGCACTGAACTGTACACTTAAAAATGGTTGGAATAGTAAATTTTATGTTAAGTATATTTTACCATGATTAAAAAAATAATTAGGGGGGCACCTGGGTGGCTCAGTGGGTTAAAGCCTCTACCTTCGGCTCAGGTCATGGTCCCAGGGTCCTGGGATCGAGCCCCGCATCGGGCTCCCTGCTCAGCGGGGAGCCTACTTCCTCCTCTCTCTCTCTCTGCCTGCCTCTCTGTCTACTTGTAATCTATCTGTCAAACAAATAAATAAAATAAAAAAAAATAATTAGGATGGATGAATGGACAGATGGGAGAAGGATGGCGGGACATGCTGAGGAGTATGGGTAAAGCCAAAGTAAATATTTACACTGCAGCAGATCTTCAGAGACTCTAAAGAATTTTTAAAATCCATAGCAAGGCAGAGACTTGTTCATGGTGGCGTACATCTGTGTTGGCGGCAGGGTTGAGGACTGAAGTTCAGCATTGACTATGGCTGACAATTCCTGCCACACTGTTCTGTTTATAACAAGAATCTTCTCTGATGAGCTCAGAGGCCCTTAAAACGATCCTGTTCATCTTTGGTGAAGTAGTTGAGGAGTCTCAGAAGTACTGGAGGCCAAGCTGATCTGAGTTTCTCCCTCACATATCTAATACCCTGTGATAGGTTAGATGAGGACATAAAGTTTGTGATCTCTCCCTACTCATATCCTCTATGCCATATAAAAGCTAAACTCCCTGAAATTAAGATGTGTTCAGCAATGCGCTTTTATAGACATGTAAGACCGAAGGACAACTGATTAACATGGGCACTGAAATAAATCCTCACTACTGCTTTTAGCACATTCATAAAATAACATTTCGGCTGGCCTGTCAGCCAGGGAGTGGAAGTGCTCATTTTGGTAGACAGCTCTCCTCAGAAATGAAATGTTTTGATTTGAAATGTAAATGTTTTTTTCCAGAGGTTTCAGAAACCCCACTTGGAAGATTAATTTATTCTTGCCTGCTCCCCTTGCAGCCTGGCTATGGCGGTTGGAAGCCTCCGTACACAGGGCTGCTGTTTGCTGCCACCAGTATGGGATGTGGTGTTTGGTCAAGAATACTGGCCTGCTTGTTCCTTCCAGAGAAAACTGATCCCTCCTTGCTGAACATAAAAGAAGCTTTATCAAATGTTGACTATGTAAATAATCTTTCTGGCAATATTCTTCGCAGCAACCAGGCTATTCCTCTCATGACCTTAAATCCTGTAGATACTAGTAAGTGAAGATTAGCCTGCTGTGTGTGTAAAACTCTGAAGTTGCCATAGCATTCCTGTAAAATGTTCACCGCTGCCAAAAACACCAAACAAAAAACCCATAATCATTCTTCATCTGCAAAACAGGCTTATGGCGGAGATCCCTCCGGAAGTCCTGTGAATCCCCTGCCCTCTCTGTATATGGAAACACGGACTCAACTCCATGGACTCCAAAATGGAACTAGTGCTAGTCTATTAAAATTACGTCTCCCTGCCCATCGCAGACACGTGATGGAAAAAGCAGCATTCGTGTTGGGGCTGCCTCTTGAATACCGCGTGAGGAGATCCTGGCCTCCTCTACAGACAGGACTTGTATTCAAAAGATCCAGTTTACCTTGCATCTTTTGTGAAACTAAGAAATTAGTTTTGTCTAATTGAGGGTTTGCTCTCTGTGATTTCCCCCGTATGATACATGCCCTGAGGCATTTAATATGATACCTAATTAGCTCGCTGTGTTAGCGGATGGTCTCAAATGTTAATCTGGATCTGTTGCTTTCTGGAACAGTTTCTGAAAGTAAAAGACTGAGTGCAGTAGAATTTAAACAGCAAACACTTGCCAGCATGTGCCGATGGCTGGAAGATGCGTTGCCGCTAGCAATGAAATAGCCAAGAATATCACACAGTTTTAGCCGAAAATCATGGCTACCATCCCTGCAGGCTGACAAACACACATTCCTGAGGCAGCAGAGCTTTCCCGAACCCTTCCTGCAGAACGGACACTATCACTGGAACCGTGCTGTCAGAGCCAAAGGCCGTGTCAAAACTGTGGTGATCACTTGGTCTCAGCCTTTCATGGATTTTTGTCATTAGGTGGGCCCTATTAAGTATAAGGAAACTTCTGAAAAAGTTGCCACCATTCAGCTATTATGTTCACCTGCACAGAAGACTTTGGAAGAGAGAGGGCTGCAGGTATGTGTCCATTAGACACATTTCCTAGCCTGTGCTTGGTGCAGTTGAGGATGGGTGAGCAAAACACGTCCCTGTACTCATGGCATTTACAGCCTAGTAGGTTTGGATAAAATAACTGTGTTGGTCCTATCTTTTGGCTATTTAGTCCCTTGGACTGTTGCTTAGAACTAAGCATTTGTGAGTTAGCCCAAGTGCTCAGCTACGCTTAGAGACATTTCTTTTTCTCATTTATTTATATTTTATTTTACTTTATTTATTTTTAAAGCTTTTATTTATTTATTTGACAGAGAGGGACACCATGTGAGAGGGAATACCAGCAGGGGGAGAGGGAGAGAGAAAAGCAGGCTTCCTGCCAAGCAGGGAGCCCAAATCTGGGCTCAATCCCAGGAGCCTGGGATCATGACCTGAGCTGAAGGCAGACTCTTAACGACTGAGCTGCCCAGGTGCCCCTCATTTATATATTTTTAGATGCAGCTGAGGCCATTGGGTTGTGGTCTAAATCAGGGAACCTGCTGGCCCATGGGCCATGTTTGGTTTGTACAGTGGGTAATCAGGGAATACAATACAAACATCCATACTGTTAATTTTTGTTGGAAATTAGAAATTCTACCAATTGGATTTTTTTTTTTTTTTTTTTGAAATTGGAAACTCAGCGAGGGGACCTGAATTTCTGTGGGGGGGATAATGCATTGTAGCTGAAAAGGCACTCACGCAATAAGATGGATTGGGAACTTCCCAGTTCACCAAAGTCCCATCACTCCCTGCGGCTTTAAATTACTTTGTTCATTGTTATTACCTACCTACCTCCTAGGACATGTGAGTCCGTTGACCCAGTCTGTACTAGTATCAACTTATGTGAGTGGTGAGGTCTTCAGCATTCTAAGCAGTTGCCAAGTGGAGAAGAAGCTAGTGTGAGGCCTTTGTTTAACTAGAGTGGGGTGAGGGAAAAGCACTCAGAGTAAGCAGGAGTGTGTGCAGGGTGGAGAGTCTAGTTAACTCTGTTTCAGAATCAGCAATAAGATCTATGTTTGCCTTAACTTTGGGTAGAAGTGCCTTGTCCTCGTATCCTTACTGTGTTTAAGTGATCCATGTCTTTCCCATTTTAGACAGGGGGACTAAATCAGCACTCTGGGCACGGTGAGCATGGTGTGGTCCAAAACCCGAGAGCTTGTGGCTCTATTTTATGGTGAGTTACAATCAGCGGGGTCTTAGCCTATTAGATTCTGATACAGCACAAGGGTATCTGATGTGAGAGAGGTGCAATGGGAAGGTAAATTCTCTTCATAAGAAATTTAGAGGGGAATCTCTACATCTATTAGATTCTACCTAATCAAGGTTGGCAGCTCAGTTTAAATTCTTAAGCAACATTTAAATAAGACCCAAAGTGACACAGATAGGTATATATGTGTATAAAATAGGCTCTCCCAGATACATTAAAAAGTGATTTTGTAATAATATTGATTTAAAGGCTATGCCTATTTTTCCACAAAATAGTAGGAATTTATAATGTTTATAATATAAAATAATATTAGTAGTCCTTTTGGAACGGCTTCAGGTGGTTTTATAGAAGACTCTTAAAAGAGCAGAACTGGTAAAAAGGGAAATTTTGCTATACCTCAAGACAAATGTGATTGCTTTTGCCTTGAGTTTTTATAAAAGATCCTTAGAGTTATATCATAAAAGCTAAAAAAAAAAAAAAAGCCAGTTTTATGGAAGAATATAAAGGTGGGGGAGCCTGGCCTCTTCCCACAGGGGAAGAGAAGAGCTGCTGTCTGGTGTGGAGGGGACCTGAAAGCTGCTGGAGGACCCCTGGGTTTTCCTTTCCCCCAAGACACCCCAAATGGACCATGTTTTCCCAGCAGCTTTGTACTTCTCGGAAGGGAGTGAGGACACACTGCATCTCTTACCTGGGGCAGCGTTCCTTTCACTAATGCAGGGATATCGGCCTTGGAGTAACCAATGGCAGCTAGACCATCATCAACATCCAGATCGAATAAGAATTTCCGGAGTGTGTCTGCCAAAATAGGCCCAGCATCTGGGATCCTGGCAGTGCGGGTGTCAGCTCCTAGAAGACACAAAGTGCTGACTGTAGAGAGAGAGAGGGTGTCATTCAGTCACAAGATAGCTGAATATATAACCTGCTGCTTCCCTACCACCAAGGACAAGAGCACTGCTGTGCCTCCACATGGAGGCCAGCCCAGCGACCAACCCCACGGAACACAGATGGGCCAGGCCAGCCTGCAGAACCCCGAGGTCCTCTGTAGAGAAGTTGGCTGAGGCTGAGCTGGCTTTCACATTTGCAATGGGCTGCTCGCCCCTGGTGTGGTGGGAAGAAGAGGAACTCAGCCAAGCAAAGAAGCACAGGGAGGAGACCGAAAAAGAAGCCTGGTGTTTGGATGAGGAGGAAGGAGCACTTGTAGGAGAAACACAGCTTATGTAACTTTCAAGGCCTGGAATTTGCTGACATCTAGAGGTATATGTGTTCAGTGTCTTTTCTCACAGCAACATCAGGAAAAGACCAATCCCTTGCAAACACCTTATGAGGCAAGGACATAGAGGTAGAAAAGCTCCAACATTGCCCCACAGGAGGAAAATTACAAAAATGGATTATGTGCGGCATGGGAAGGAACTATTTCCTTTCTATAGCTATAAAACTTCTTATTTTGGGCCTCATTGCCAAAGGGAGGGTGGGTTCCTCTAAGTAAATATTGCAGAACTAGTCAGACAGAACTAAGAACATAAAGACTCTCAGAAAACAGTATTTACTCTGTAGGTAATAATGCTGTTGGTGAAGGGGAAAGGAGGTTGCCAAGGGGTGGAAATCTGGACACGATAAGTAATCGATACATGAAATCTGAGGACATCAATGTGGAAGAGCTAGGGGTGCTGGCCTCAGGCAGGGTAGCAGTGAGAGTCCCCAGACCCTTAGCTCTCCAGCCCCTCAGCCGTTCTGGCCGAACACATTCACTGCCAGGAAGTGAAGCCTTGACAAACAGATGTGGCGTGTCATTATCCCAAAGGCGTCATGTTGAGTCTAAGCCGCCTTTCTCTGTATTGTTCAAAAAGAGACTAGAATGTATAGTTTATGCTCCTACTGAAGCACACTATTCAATTAATTTTAACTTTTTTCTTCTATGACAGCAAAAGCTGTTTTAGTAATCCAGGAAAAGGTATAAATAGAACCCGATAGGAGACTAGTTGGCAGAGGCTGGATGGAAGGTAAACCTTGCCTGACAAGACCAGTCTGTATTACACAGCGGCAGCTGAAATACGGATTAGGTGGAAAGGTGACACATGATACAAGGTTTGTGAGGTTTTTATGTTCCTGGGATTGCTGCCATAAAACACACCATCAAAGCCTCTGGGTTTTCCTGTGAAGTGTTTAGAAAAAGGAGAGGGTAGAAAAGAGCATAAGCTGGTATAAAGCTGAGAAAACCTAAAATTACGTTGGGAGTTAAAATATTTAATGGCTAAGTATGGAATCACAGTAAACAAATCTTCCTATGCAAGGAAGAAGAGTTGGTGGGTTCTTCTACCCTGAGTTTTGTCTACTGGAGGAATTGCTTTCTCAGTAACATTGTTGGTTGCCTGGAATTTTAGCTTTGAGTTCTCTAAGACTTTCTCATTTACCATACATCAAGCCTACTACTTGGGCTCCTTCCTACTCGCCACTGCATATTTACCAGGCATCTATCTGAGTGCCCAGAATGGCTAAAAAACACCCCCGATCCAAAAGGGAAAGGGACAGAAGATCCTTGGTAAGGTGGGCACCATATTTCCAGCAGCCCATGCTGGGAAATCGAGCCGCTGCTCTGCTTCTCTACCCTGGACTTCTCTCATTAGCATTCCCTGCACAGCCCAGCTCCTGGAACTCTACGGAAGCACACCTTTCAGTGTGAGATGTGGAGGTGAAGCAGGGCACATGGAAGCAGTCTGTGGTCATGCCTATCTTCTTGGAAATAACCTCTCCAATGGCTGGTGCTAGAAGAGCATAATGAAGTTTCTTTTTAGCTTTTCCCTTCCTACCCTAAACATAAGTATGGGAATAGAATGTTTGGAAAGTTAATCAAATTCTCAAAGTCTACTTGAAAGAGTTCTCATCTTAGAAAAATACCCTAAATTTTTACTTAACATTGAAGCTAGGCTGCATATAATTTTATTGCTTGTGAGATTCAGAAAGCACTGTGGGTGTCTTGTTATAGACATTATTTATTCTACAGAGCAGCAAAACAAATTCTTCTTTTGGGATCTTTTTATAAAGTTTCTGGTGGTTTAGATTTTCTATAATTGGGAATGTACTGTTACTTCCTGAAACAAGATTCTTTTTATTACCTATTAAATGTAGTAAAAGGCACTTATTAATATTATGTAAAGAGTTTCATGTTCCTTAGGGATGAAAACATAAATAGCATTACTACAACCTTAACATAAGCAATATTTGGTTCCATTTCATTGTTAATAGACTATTAGAAGCAAAATTACAGAATTTTAGTGCTAGATAGGACTTTAGGCAGGTCACTCACATTTTATTATTAAACTCTTTCAGAGAAACTTTATGGGTATTATTATCCTTTATAGTTTATCCGCAGAAGCAACCCTACAAAATGCTCCGCATATGCAGGTCACAGATTCATGAGTAATGGTTCGTACCCAATATTTCTGCCATTTCCAGGTGCCGTTCAGGAGACATCTGTGCTGTGAAAGTGAATACCGCTGGGGAGGTGAGTACCACAGAAAGGCCATGAGGCTGAAGAGAAACAAAATGGGGTGACCACTGGGGCAAAGTTGGGTCTTCAGCCTGCATTATTCTAGATACTGAATTACTTTACCCTATACTCCAAGCAATCAAGAATTGACAAATCCACATAAATACATTTATGGCAACTGCAAAGAACATGAAATTTAAATAAAGAATTTGTTATGATTTTACCACCAGTGGGTGATCCACATTATAATCCTTTGCTTTATATGTCTTCACTAAGCCTGAAATTGGGTAAGACATTCCATGGCTAGAAAAGAAAGAAAGTCCTTATGTTGACATATAGCTATCAGAAATTCAAAGTAACAAAACAAAGATACTTTTATGGGAGAGCCCTTCACAGTCTCTTGACAAAAGAGTTATCTCACAAAGTGATACATTCTGTTTTCTTTGATACAACAATATATTCTTGCATTGGACATTTTGTGTATTTGCTCACAAAACCTCTGAAATGTTCAAATTTAAATGCTCGTAGAGTTGTAGGTTAAATGCAGAAATTGCTTCCCAAACACATTGATTAACTTGATGATCTTGAAGAAATCGAGAATGTACTTTGAAGTTTTTTTAATAAGCTTCAGGGCATGCATTTTGTGTTTTGTTCTGCACTGGCTTAGCAGCGTGCCCCTGCACAGCTGACGGTGGGTGGGAGTCTTAAGAGCCAAGATGTGCTGTGTTAGACATGCAAGCTTGACCCTCCAGTGATCTGTCCCCTCGATAATTGATACATTTTTTCAAATGTTACATACTAATAGAGTTGACTCATAAATGATTATTGTAGTCTGAAAGGCTATCAAGAAAAGGCATCATGGGAGCGCCTGGGTGGCTCAGTGGTTAAAGCCTCTGCCTTCGGCTCAGGTCATGATCTCAGGGTCCTGGGATCGAGCCCCTCATCGGGCTCTCTGCTCAGCAAGGAGCCTGCCTCCTCCTGTCTCTCTCTGCCTGCCTCTCTGCCTACTTGTGATCTGTCTGTCAAATAAAAAAAAAAAAAAAAAAAATCTAAAAAATAAAAAAAATTTTAAAAAAAGGCATCATGGTTTTTATTTGTGGGGTTTTATTTGTTTTGATGAAAAAACACTTTTTATATACTCTTGAATTCTTGGTGAACAAACAGGACTAATTTAGTTTACTAGATGACCCGGAAGATATATCTTGTGAGAAGCTTATGTATTTATAATTAATATGTTGTAAATGAAATGCTTTACAATAGTAAAATGGTCCATAAGTCTTTTTCTGTGGGTTACTGGATGACTTTGGGCTTATTCAGCAAAAGACTTAACATTTCATAGGAAGACCAAGTATTTTGGTGAATGGTATAAGGGATACCAAAAAGGTATCCCTTGCCTATCCCTTTCGTGAGATGGATCAGAAGCTATTGGTTCTCTGAATTGCTATTTGGGAATATGCTTGACCTTTCTTGGGCTTCACAGTATGTGGAAAATTATTGCTTAGTGTGCCTTCATGATGTGAAAGGGTTCATGTAGCTTTCAAAAGTAACTTTCTAATGATATCCAACATCTTAGTTTGATTTCTTTTAAGAGTTGTGTATGTTCTTTGTAAAAATTAGAACGATCCACAATCCTATTTCTTCAAGATAACCATTATACAATGTTTCTTCTAGTCTTATCATGCATATCTTCAATTTATGATCATATGTGCATACAGTTTCAAACATTGCTTTGGTTACTTAATATTCTTTTTTAAAAAAAGATTATTTATTTATTTATTTGTTAGAGAGATCACAAGTAGGCAGAGAGGGAAGGGGAAGCAGACTCCCCATTGAGCAGAGAGCCCGATGAGGGGCTCGATCCTAGGACCCTGAGATTGTGACTTAAGCCAAAGGCAGAAGCTTAACCCACTGAGCCACCCTCAGTAGGTGCCCTTACTTAATATTCTTTACAAACATTTTCCTATATAATTTTCTATTATTCTAAAACATTATTTTTTATTTTTACTTATTTTTAAAAAGATTTTGTTTATTTATTTGACAGAGAAGGATCGCTAGTAGGAAGAAAGGTAGGCAGAGAGAGAGAAGGGGAAGCAGTCTCCCTGCTGAGCAGAGAGCCCCATGTGGTGCTTGATCCCAGGACCCTGAGATCATGACCTGAGCCAAAGGCAGAGGCTTAACTCACTGAGCCACCCAGGTGCCCCTAAAACATTTTTTTTAAGAGCCATATTTATTCTTTGTGTACTGCACTTCAGTTAACCATTCCCAAAATGTTGGAAATTAGATTGTTTCTAAAATTTTCAACTATACATACCACTTAGGTGACTATTCTTATAAAGAAATTCTTTGATCATATGATGATGATTTCTTTTGTCTACATTCATAGAACTAAAATTAGTGGGCCCAAGGATATAAACATTTTTCAGGCTCTTGGGAGATTTTGCTCCCTTGCTTTTTATTTTATTATTTCTTTCTTTCTTTCTTAAGATTTATTTATTTACTTGAGAGAGAGAGAGAGAACTAGCAGGAGAGACAGAGGGAGAAGGGGAGAGAATCCTAAGCAGACTCTGCACTGAGTGTGGAGCCCAACACAGGGCTTGATCCCACGACTCTGAGCTCACGATCAGACTCAAAACCAAGAGTTGGTTTTGTGCCAACCACAAAGCAGGTGAGTGATGCCACACAGGCACCCCATTCACCTGCTTTTTAGAAAGGTGTTATCAATCTATGCTCTCAGCAGCCAAGTTTTGGGGTGACTCCACTATACCCTCCATAGCAAAGGCCTATTCTTAATTCTCAGTGATCATAGGTATTCAATGTTAAGGCATCATACCAAAAAGTTCTGATCAAACAAGTCAATTCTGGGCTACAGACAATGATTCTGATCCTTTTCTTTTTGTGAGAGATTAGTAGGAGAAAAAAAAATCTTGCATTTGAGGTTCTAAAAATCCCCAACACATGGTGAGGATGTGGAGAAATCAAAACCCTTATCCACTGCTTATGGAAATATAAAATGGTAGAGCTTCTGTGGATCACAGTAGTAGTTCTCAAAATTTAGACACAGTTACCATATAACCTAACGGTTCCACTCCTAGGTATATTCTCAGAAATGAAAACATATATCAACACAAAAAACTTGTACACAAATGTTCATAGCAGCATTATTCATAATGGCCAAAAGGTGGAAACAGTCCAGTGTCCATCTTCTGATGAATGGAAAATAAAATGTGGCATATCCATGCAGTGGATTGTTACTTGGCAACAAAAAGGAGTGACATAGTGATGCACATATGGATGAACCATGAAAACCTTTTGCTAAGTTAAAGGCACAAATGACCACATATTATATAATTCCATTAATATAAAATATCCAGAGCAGGCAAATCTATAAAGACGGAAAGTGGATTAGTAGTTGCTTAAGACTGAGGGGTGTAAGAGGATTGATGGATGACAGCCAAGGAGTATGGAATTTCTTCTCAGGGCAATAAAACGTTCTAAAATCGATTGTGGTAATGGCTGTACAACTCCATGAATATGCTAAATCCCACTGAATTATACATTTTGAATCAGTAAATTTTATAGTGTGTATCTCAAGCCTGTTTAAAAAAAAAAAAATCTATGAGGGTACCTGGCTGGATCAGTGGAGCACGTAACTCGATCTCAGGGTCCTGAGTTGGAGGCTCACATTAGGGTTAGAGTATGTTTAAAAAAATATAATAAAACTTAAACAAAAATCTATGACCCAATAAATTACATTTGAATTAAGAAAACATTCCAGGACCCCCAGTTAAATTTCTTTTTTCTATAGCATATTTAGGTCTTACCCTTTGTCCTAAATTACAAACATTTTTTTAAATTAAAAGCAATAGCTTAGGTGAAGAAATAAAATCTCAAGTTTGCTCACCACAGATGAACACCAGCATTTCCAAAGCCAATGCCAGCAAAAGCACTTGCCAAGTGCATATTAGACCTTGCTTCAAGATCGTCAGGATTTCTGACAGCCCTGTGGATGATATAAATACCTACATCAACATTGGCATTTCCTATCGAATCAAGAGCTGCCGTAGGGAAAGACCTGGGAAGAAAGAAATTCTACTTGGTAGGAAGAAAAATTAGGCAACTTATTCAAATGACACCTTGTCTTCTCAACGAAAACCGAAGGGAAACATATTTTCTTATCAATGGTTTTGGGCAAAGGCATAATAAATATGCTGTCGGGCTGCTCATGTGATGAAAGTGCTGGGGGAAGCAAGGCAATGACCCTTGGACTGTGAGCTGCTCTAGAAAAGTGCCCCAAGACTCATTCTTCTTCTTCATTTGTCAGTGAGCTTGACGGCAGCTGTGAATGAACTGCGAGTAAACACACACTCGGAATGGACAGGGCCCAGACTGGTTCTCTGCAATGAGTCCCTGTCGCCTGGGGCTACCTGCAGGCTAAAAGCAGCCTGCCCCGCCATCTTTCTTTCTGTGACACTGCCCCAAATAGAACCCTCTGGAGGCCTCTTTTAGTATCTTTTGAAACCACATGTACTATTTTAATATTTTTCCTTATGGAAGTGGGATGTTATTGCAGGATGAGCCTTTGCTTGCTCCAGATGTCCCGACGCCACTCTGTAAAAGCAAATTCTCAAAGGCCCCTTGCACATGCAGCTCAGCCATCCTGCACATGCTGGCTTAGAAACCCTGCCCCAGGGAGGAAGCAGAAGACTGCCAAGAATGACAAACCACTCCTTGCTTGCTTTTCACGATTTTGCCTGGAGTAAGGGCTCCTGTTATGCAGTAAGCGTGCTACAGCCTTTTATCTCCTTTCATTTGGAATGGTTAGGCATCTGTGGCTCCTTTCCAAACCCAGCGTTCGTTTCTTATTCCCTGAATGCCAAGATGAAAGAGCAGATGATGGGGCTTTAGCTTTCTTTCTGTCCTTTACACCCCCTCACCTTCCACTCTGCTCTGCCAAGCCTTCTGTCCCCGTCTCATGCTGGTTGACCACTATCTGTATCTGCGACTACCCAGGCAAGTGCTTCCCTGCTCCCTGATGGTCTCCTGAAATAGCTCTGTGTCCCTTCCCTTTGCTTTTTGACAAAATGCAGTCTGAGTTCCTTCTCCGGTACAGCTACCAGCTTGGGGCCAGAGGAAGCACCATGTTTACATCTAGGTCCAACCTGCCGTGCTCTTTGCTTCTGTTATGTGTACAAGAGTGAGTCTGGGTTTGCATAGGTCTTAATGTCTCAGGGATCAGCTTTCATCTCTAAGTACATCTTTGCTCTCTTAGGAGCCAATCGTGGCTATAGCATTTATAAATCCTTTGAAATCTTTTAGAAAGCTTTTTATTTTTATTTTTTTAAACCATAATAATATTTAACTATAACATTTTTCAGATATGATCAATATAAAAATTATTGAAATTTTTATATTCTTTTTTCCTGCATACTGTCTTTAAAATCTGATGTGTATTTTGTACTTTAACATATCTCAGTTCAGGAAAGCCACATTTTTAATTTTATTTTTTATTAACATATAACGTTATTATTTGTTTCAGGGGTTCAGGTCTGTGATTCACCAGTCTTACACAATTCACAGTGTTCACCATAGCACGTACCCTCCCCAATGTCCTTCACCCAGCCACCCCACAGAAGGCTTTTGATATCTCCTGGGACAGACAACTCTAGACATTGGTTTCTTAAATTCACTTCATGTGAGTTTGCTTACTGGGTTGACTCTGCCTTCAGACACGGCCCGCATGGGCTTGGCCAACATCTGCCTCTCTGGGTCTCATTTCAGCTCTTGGTGTAGCCAAATCTCAGAGGACATCTGCCTTCACCTGAGCTCTGGTTTCAAGGCTTTGATGAATAATCCTTCTAGATGCATCCTTCAGAAATCAGAGGCTCATATTTTGTCCCCTTGCCTTTGCCTTTTCAGACTGAAGGACTCAGGTTTCATCTGTCCTCACATGCATCCCTCCCCATCTTTTCATCCTTCCAGAGCTTGCTGGTCTCTGGTGCTCCTCTATATCCACTGACTAATCTTTTGGTGAACAGGCGTGCTTAGGCTATTTCAGGATCTGGCACACTACATTTTATGTGAGGGTGGAATGTGGTTTTCCTGTTCTGTTTCTGTTTCTTTCTTTCTTTTTTTTTTTTAAAGATCTTATTTTTAAATAATTTTGACATCCAGTGTGGGGCTTGAACTTACAACCCCAAGATCAAGATCTGCATGCTTGACTGACTGAGCCAGCAAGGTACCCATTCTGTTTCATTTCTATCTCCTCTGGGCCACATACCTTTTCAGATACTTAGCGACGATCCGTAGTGCGTGGACGGCCCAGATGTCACTGACTGGGTTGCTGCCCTGGTATGCTGGCCGGGTGATAGGATTTGAAGGACAAGGGCTCCGCATGTGGTAGGGGAGGGCAGTGTAGGACTCCAGGGCATGGCTAACAAGACATATTTAAAACACACAGATTGAAAGCACCTTCTTTTTCCCCTCCATTCAGATTCCAGACTCTCTTGGACATGTTCAGTACTCACTCCACTGCAGATAAGCTCCGTGGCAGTGATAATCACAGTGCGTTCCACCAGGTCAGACTCTTGCCTACAGTAGTCATTGCTTATTACAGAAATTAACAGTGAAGTTTATATTAACAGCATTATTTTTTGACCAGTATATGTTGCTGAATTACATATGGCCCCTTTCTAGTGCAAATAAATCTTTATGATGTTGAATTTTTACATTATTTGGGTCATGAAGAAAAGCCCTGAATCTAAAAAATGATTTCCTTGTAAAATATATTTACCATTAAACTCCTGTTACCTAAGGAGGGTCATAGTTACATGAGCCTTCTATTAAGAGTACAGTGCAGTGGGTGAGAGCACAGATGCTGGGGTGAGCTGTAAATCCTGGCACCAGACCTTCCTGTAGCAGGCGTGGGGTAACTCACTATCTAACCTGTGACTCTAAGACAAGGACAAACAATAGTATGCCTTCCTGGTGCTGCTGTAAAAATTAAATGAGGGGGTACACGTAAAGTACTTAGAATAATGACCAGCACATTGTAAAACTTACAGTTCATCATTATTATTAAATTTTGGCCTCAAAAATAAAATTCAGTTCTTTTTTCTGATATTCCCTCAACTAAAGGTTGGCTATTTCAAGGACCAAGCTTCAGAATTTCCTCCACCTGATGGCCTGCCATCAATTCTAATGAATCAAATGCAGAAGAGAGAAAAAAAACAAAACATAGCCATCTAGATCAGTGATGCATTGGGAACGCAATGTAAGATGAACTGTTTCAGGCATGAATTATGGTTTTTGGTCTTAGAATGGAGATTTCTTCTGCACTTGAGAAGCAGTTAATATCTTTTGAACAAACCATTGGAAATTCTTTTAACTAGTTGGTGGATGGATGCTATGGCTTTATGGTTCTTAATCTGTCTAATCTGTGGGCAGTGCAAGAATGGAGCATCCATGTGGGGAGATATTAACCAAATACCTATGATGTGACAGTCACTGTTCCAAGGGGCAGGGATGGAGAGGGGAGTAAGATGGTTCTATCCTCATCCAGCTCACAGTGCAGTGAAGATGAGCATGTGAAAGGGAAGTCCACCCAATGCGGAAGAGCAAAGGATGGAGTGGTCAGTTGCACCTGAGGAGAAGAAAGGTGGGGAGGCTGTCAGCAAAGGCTCCATCAAGGGTAGGGTGCTCCAGTGGAACTGGAATATGAATTCTCCAAAGAGATAAAGAGCTGAGCACTGGGGACATGCCAGGGCAAAGAAATTTGGCCGTCTGGCAGTAGGCGTGGAAAGGCACTAAAAGACTTGTCAGGTAGAGGTGTGTGTATATGTGTATGTGTGATGATTATATTGCATTCTGAAAACTTGCCGAGGCCGGTATGGAGGACAGACAGAAGGACTATGGGATGGAAGCAGAGACACTGACGAGGAAACCATTGCAATTATCCAAGCAAGAGTTGGGCAGGTCTGAACCACGGTGGGAACAGTGAGGCTCAAGTGGAGGGAGCAGACAGGAGAAAGCCCAGCAAGACAAGTGGTAGGAGGTACTGGGCCATGTGCGGACATAAGAAAGAAGTTCATAGCAAGCCCTGCTGCTCACTAACTTAAGGGACTCAGGAGAAGCTGTGAGGTGGTAGGAGGAGGTGGAGAATAAATTGGGATTTCATCGAATTTAAGATGTCATGCATTATAAGACGCATCATTAAAAATACCACTGAGGGGCGCCTGGGTGGCTCAGTGGGTTAAAGCCTCTGCCTTCAGCTCAGGTCATGATCCCAGGGTCCTGGGATCAAGCCCCACATCGGGCTTTCTGCTCAGCAGGGAGCCTGCTTCCTCCTCTCTCTCTGCCTGCTTCTCTGTGATCTCCGTCTGTCAAATAAATAAAATCTTTACATAAAAATACCACTGAGGAAGAAAATCGTACCGTTGCCCCACAGATCTTAAGACGTGTTCTGAGTTCAGAGATGTTAGATTTTGAAAAAATGTACCCGTGCAAGTAGATGAAATAGGTAGTTTGGGACACGCTGAATGCGAAAGGCGTCCGTGGGTCTCCCTGAGGCCCCTGGAAGGAACACGGATCAGGGAGCCATGGCAGCTGAAGCCCAGGGAACCTGGGCTCTGGCAAGTTACTGAACATCTCCACGGCAGGTTTCTTTCTCGTGTGGTGCAGAGCTGTAGTGAGGTGGTGATGTGTGCGAAGTCCTGACATGTGAGCACAATCCCGCTCACGGGATGTCAGCTCCCTTTCCTGCCCTCTTCCATGCCATGGCAGACCCGACTGTTTCCTGTTCCCTGTAGCCCTAGACGCAGGGTCTGAGTTGCTGCACGGCAGCTCCACCCACTCCACCCACTCCTCCAGCCACTCCTGGCTGGCACAGTGGATCCAGAGCAGTGGCCTGAGGCTCATCCAGGAGCTCATCTAGTCCTCATCCTTTATAGGTTCCATGTTTTCATCTAGGAAAGGGGATAATGACAGCCAAAGCTGGGGTGGTTGTGGAACACTAACTGAGGTATGCTTAGCAAGTGCTTTCAGCAAGAAAATACAGTCCAGAGACGCAGGGCCTGCAAAAGCCCCTCCAGTTGGCACTGGTACTTACCAAAGCACATCGAAGCCACTGTTGGCAACCACCCGGTCAGGCATGTGCAGGGTGTGCAGGGGATCGATCAGTCCCAGTGTGGGTTTGATGGCTCGGGAAGCAATGCCTAAAACAGGGATTTTTCAACAGAGGCAAAAGGTATGGACACCATTTTAAGAAATTAAGTTACTTTAGGATAACAATTTATTCTTAAATTAAAAATATGAGATTCATTCTCATGAAGGGAGGCAACAAGAATAGTGGAAAGAGATCTGGAGTCAGAAACCTGGGTTTTTCACTGGATCTGAGGCTCCTTGTTTGAAGGAGCCAAGTGTGCACATCTCTTCCCAACTCTGGTTTGAATGATGTCACTGGCAATGGTGGGACTATTTACACCAAAGAAATTGGCCAATACGAGAAACTGGGGCTTATTTACTGATTAAATGCCAGAGAGCTGGTTTACTAGCACACTGGTGGTTTGGGTGCTGGTTCTGCAGCTTGCTATGTGTCTTTGGCCAAGTCACTTAGTCTCTCTGAGTTCTCCATTAGATCATAACCATTAGGGCTTCTATCCCACATAGCTAATGTAAGGCTCTTATTAGAAAGTATTATGTAAAAGTCTTTGAAAAACTGTAAGATTAAATTCAAGTATTGGCTACTGTTATCTTCAATAACATCAAAGGATAATGTCATTTAATTTTAAAAAGAGAAGTTACTATAAATGTGCAGCCAAATATCAATTCATTCTGCTACAAAGGCCTGGGACCTTTGGATCTTTCTGGAGTATAGGAATGTTTTATACTTTGGTTGGGATAGTGGCTACATGGGTATATCTATTTGCCAAAATTCACCAGGCTGACTCTTAAAATGTATGCATTTTATTATATAAAAATTGTATCTCAATGAAATTGATTTAAAATGTTGAAAGGAAAAAAGTGTTGAAAAGATGTGCAAGAAAGGGAATAATCATTCAGCACTGACGTACAGTTTCTAACTTGAGCAGAGAAATGGCCAATCAAGATTATGGCATTTCAATATGCTTTGTAGGTAATTCTCAAAGAGAAGTTTATTAGACTGTTTCATATTTTTACATGTACTTGGTAAAAGAAAGAAAATGTGTGTATATACATGCCCTTAGCTCTATAACCCCTTGATTTTTAAATATTAGGATTAAAGAAAAGGCCGCAGGGTTGAAAGGTAAGAGAGAGAATTAAACATGATTTTTATGGGCACAGTTCTTACCAGTTTTTACTTTCAAGTGTTCATAGTCAAAGATGGCAACTCCTGTAGTTTCACTCCCAGTTCCTGAGGTAGTTGGGACTTGAATAAAATAACATTAATTTACATAATGCATCTAAGTAAAGTCAGTGGAGATACTTAATTCAACCTTAGGAAGCAAGGAACAAAGTTAGAGAAGGAAGCGCTGATGCCCCTATTGCTCACTTGAGGTCCGTATCTATGTTAATCTGCATGTATGCTTCATATGTCTGTCCGTATCTGCATTTACATGCATGTGTAATAGCGTGCCTGTCAGCATCAACACGTTTCCTATGCATATGTGATGGCAGTGTCTGCATTAATAGGCACACATTTCACGTGCACGGTGTTCATGTCTGCGTAACATGTAGGCATGTCTAACGTGTACGTGCACTTCGATGAGTATGTGTGATAGCTTTACCTGTATTAACACATATGTATGATGTCAGTGCCTGTGCCAGCATGTATACAGGCCTGACATGTATGTATGGTGTCCATGCCCGTACTAACACGTGTGTATGTTTACCATGTATTATGTGTCCTGTTTCTGCATCAACAGCTAGGAACCCCAGGAACTCGAGCACCCGAGCTTACGCAGCTGCAGCCGGGCTTTCAGAGGCAGGCTGCTCGGCTTCTCGGTTAGAAAACTCATACATACCTTCTCTGAAAGACATCTTTATTCCCTCCTGGCAGCAAGCACAGTAACGTTCTGCCTTTGCTAGGCTCCGTGGTTTTGTAGTTCTGTCAAGTTTCTAAACTTTACTAATCACCCCTCTGTGTGATGCTGACACAGTTTCACCAGAGGGTTCCGTTTGCCAGACATCAATTATGTTGCTCCCTGCTGATTGCTCATTCACATCAAAGCAGTTCATCTGCCTTCAACTTACTCCTATACCATCACGGGGCCCATTCACAGTGGGGGCAGTTGAGGGGGAGAAGAGAGAGGACAAAACTTCAGACAGATATTGTCCAGTTACCAGTTAGTGCATTTTCACTATAAAACTTTAAGCAGTAATATGCTAACAGCCATAAAATAGGAGGGAGGGAAGAAAAGACCCAAAGATCCCAAGCTCTGTGTGGGACAGAAAAGCTATTCTGACTTGGACTTGCGTGTCTGTCCCCAGGGCAGCCACAGAGCAGATGTTGCCCAGAGAGATGTGGCCATGCTAGCCACATGTCCTAGAGAAGAGACAAAGCCCCAGGTCAGCTGAAGAGCCATTGTGTGGAAGAAAGGGTTGAGTCAACACCAGAAAAATAATAGTGAATGTTCCCCTTAAACTCCACGGTGGCTGGCAGAATGGGACAAAGCAGAGAGGGGTTTAGAAGACAAACCTGCCAACAGAGGGATCTAATAATATGGAAACAATAACCTTCCCTCCTCCTTCACACAATGACTGCCTAGCATAAATCTGCAAACTTTCCCACCACTGACCCAAATCGTCCGTCTGTGCAATAATGATCAGAATTTAAAATATAAATGAACTGCTATCTGTTCTGCTCTCCAAACACTGTACTACACTGAAATGAAGAAATTAGAAAGCTTTGGAAACATACCCTAAAATTCCTGGCTTGCATCTTTCCTAAGACCTTTTGCCAATTGCAAAATAAAACGTACAAACAGTCTTTACCTGCAATCAGAGGCTTAAGAGGCACAGACACAGGCTTTCCCTTCCCAATGGGGGCATTGACATAGTCTAGGAAATCAGAGTGAGGGCTGGATGCATACAGATTAGCGGCTTTGCAGGTGTCCATGGTGGAGCCTCCACCAACAGCAACGAAGGCATCAAAAGCTCCGCTTTTGACAAATTCAATTGCTTCCATGAAGCTTAGAGAAGGGAAAAGAAAAGCCATCATGTCATTATTGTTTTCAGAAATAAATTGCCACACCATTAAAGGCCTGGAGCAAGTTTTAAGCAACAGTGAGATGTGTTGGCTTCTACATAAAGTAAATAGCAGCAATAAAATAATACCTTCTATCTGTTGGTTCCACCCTCACATTATCATAAACCTTAAAATTTATGCCATTCTTTACTAGGGAGTCCATAACCATTTGTACGGGAGGGAGCTGGGAGAGGTTCTTGTCTGTCATCAAACAAACATTTTTAGCACCCATGTTTTGTAGGTCCTAAAACAACAAAAATAATTTTATAAGTTAGGTTTCATTGCCCAAGAACTGCAATAGACTCTCTCTCTCTGGCTAACTTAACACTGCACATTTTTAAAAACAAAGGACTCAATTGTTGTCGGTTTGCATTTGTTTTAAAAGACAGGTAACATTTCTAACAAAAAGACTGTAGGAATCTTAAATACTTGCCATTCCCACTTCCTTTGTAACTCCTGCTCCATATCTAATATTTGAAACGGCCATCTGCGGAAAAACAAAAAAAAAGACTTAGATATAGGTGTGTTTCATTTCTAAAGACCTATAAATGAAAGGAATTGTTCCTTATTGTGTAGAGAATAAAGTATATATTCCTTAGCATGTCCTTCATTTTAATTTATGACTCCTGAACTAGGAGGAGACAGAGATTTAAATAATTATATAATTATACTGTGATAAAAATTCATCAGAATTCATTGCTCCTTTGTTCTTGCTTCAAAAGATTGCTTGGACCTCTTTTAGAATTGTTATAATTACAAAACTAAGCTGTAACCTACAACATATGTAAGTTGGAGAGTTTGTAGAACTGGGACTTTGTCCTGTTTTGATGGCTGAACAAAAGACAGACAATATCTAAACATTACTCATGTTATCTGAAGATTTGTATTCCATTACCCCAACAAGGTACTTTGCTAAATGGGGTATGATCAAATAATGAGATTAGGGAACACCAATTAATAATAGATTTCAAATGAGATAATAATGCATTAGTGGGCGCCTCAGTGGCTCAGTTGGTTAAGCATCTGCCTTTCGGCTCAGGTCATGTTCCCAGGGTCCTGGGATCAAGTCCCTCCTGCTTCTCTCTCTGCCTCTGCCTATCTCTCTGTCTCTCATGAATTAAAAAAAAAAAAAAACAAAAAAAACATTAGCAAAATACTCTAGTATTTTTTCAAGTCATTCGTAAAAGAAAGAATGGATTGATTATATCTACCTCAAAGGCATAATCTGTTGTTTTCCCAGAAGGTGCAAATCCAGGAGCTACAGAAATATAGAAATTAGCGTTAGAGTAGGCCTCAAAAACAAAGCAAAAATAATGGTTTTTGATAGTAAATTGGTATTTCAGCAGTGAACATAAGCATCTCCCTTAAAAAGACTTACCTTTAAAAGAAAATTAAAAGCCTTAGCTAAAATGTATTTTCAAGTTTCATTGTTGCCTATCAAATTGAAATTAAAATCTGCATTTTAAGAGAATGTAATGCTAACTTGATGCTGATTGTGTGAAAATAGTTATTTAAAATATTTTCTTCATTGAAAATAAAATACACTTTTGAAACAATGTCTAAAAATCCTCTAGAAAAAATACCCTCTAGACTCTGGAGTTAGATTACTGTTAGAGAACAATTATTAGTAAATTAATTAATTAGAGTCCTGCTTACATTTCTTATAACAACTGTGATCAGTTTGAATTAAAATATTTTTCCATAGAGAAAAAATTATCACAGTAAGATGTTTATATTTTTCAAGTTAAAGTATGTAAAAATTTAGTTCTGTTTGTAAGATTTAATAAAAGTTTTTATAAACTGATACTTCTTTATAATATCAGGTTTTAGTTATGGCAGAAATGATTTCCTGTCCTATCAGAACAAGACAGCCCCACTTAATGAGTTTTATGCTTATTTTCATCACTCCTCGTCAGTCATAAGATTGAAAAAAAGTCTGCAACAATTTCCACTACTTCTTCTTTTTTTTTTTTTTTTAAAAGAACAAGAGACCAAAACTAGACAACAATCTACCTTTGGATTCTTGAGAGCAAGGGTATCCTTAATCAAAATTCAAATTTCTTTGAACCTTATCTACTGTAAAGAAATAATTTATTAATCTTGCTACTGAAGTTTAGGAAAAGACATAAATTGATTCTAGAAAACAGTGAGATTATCTTTCTTTAATTTACTAATTTTATGCTCCCAAACAGGAGACTACTAATTCTTTGTTGAAATCAACTAAGAATTGGAAAGAACCAGCTAAAGACAAAATTCTGCATATGTTCACGAGGACCTTAAAGGCTGGCCATGTTTTCACCTAGCTGACGGTCATTAATGACTGGGAGGTCCCTTGGCTTGTCTTGAATGGTGAACCACACCGGTGGCAGGAAAAAGCCCTCGGTTACTCTTTCTGTTCTACTCCCCAACAGGCTCCTCTGTGGATTCTGCTTAGTTTCCTGTACGGGCAGCCCCCCTTGTTTCCATTCTCACTGTGCTGTTTAGATTTGACCTTTCCTTCTAAGAGGTGAAATCAGTTTTTGTGTCAGTAATTCATGTGACATTCTGAGGACACGCTGAAGCTACAATGAGCTTCCTGCTGCTCTGTGGACAATGGAGTTGGGAAGGATTAAGATGTTTGTGAGAACTGAAAACTTTTGTCATTATTTTTAATTACTAAGAAATATAATTTTTTTTTTTAAATTGATACAAACAAGTTTTTTCCTTCTAGGAACCACCTTTGTTCTTTAGCCTCTTTCTTTCCTGAGATGTATTAAGACTGTCCAAAGATTTCATCTTGATTAATTTGATTAACTCAGATGATCTTAAAATCTCATCTGTGCCCCCATTTTTAGCTTTGGCAAATAATGCTATTTGAAATAGAAAATTATCATAAATAGCATTAAATATATACTTGAGTCAAACATAATCAATCAGCACACATTCAGCTACCGTCATATAATTAGAACTACATATTACCAGTTGCAAGTGAAAAGGCAACCATTCCAACTTTCACATCCCTTGATTTCCTTGATTTATCATTTTCCCAAATGTATTATGAGTGCCAATGGAGGGCTTGGAAATTTTGGCCACTTTAAAAACACAAAATGTATTATTACCTTGGGAGTAAGTATGAGAATGAGTTGGGCACTGGCATCTAGGGAAAAGAAAAAAAAATGTGAAACTAGAAAGCCAGAAGATAGGATGCTTTAATGTGGCTCACACTGCATTCTACTCTTGAGATGCTATCAAAGTAGTAGCTTTGGCAAATGCTCCATAGGAAAACCCAGAAATCATCATGGACAAGAAGTCCACTCAGAGTCTTTCCAGTGTTGCAGGATCATTCTTTCAGCAATTATTCAGTTGGTGCTCAATACATGTGTACGGGAAGCTGAGATAAGTCCTCTGGGGATACAAGGAAGTTTGAGATGGAGTCTTAGTGTCTCTGAGGTCCCAGCTCTTGTACCATGTTAGGAACTTCTACCAAATTTACCCAAGGTTAACTACTCAATGCACTTCCTCTCCCATTCCTCCCACCCAGGGGAATTTGTATTTTCTCATTGTCTTCAATGTGTTTATTTTCTTGAAACAGACTCTGGGCCTCTGAGAAGCCCTCAGTGGGCCTGCAGTCCTCACTGGTCACTACCTCACGCCTCCATCTTTTCTCAGCCCAGCTCCAGGGACCTGCAGCCCCTTGGATGCCTCCCTGTGCTGGTTCCCTCCCCAGGGCCTGTGGCTGTGTCCCCCTCTCCCCACTCCCCTGTGGCCTAAAGTGGGCTCATGCCTGTCACTCTCTCCTCCTCAAATCCCTCACCTCTTCTCAGTTCCCACTCTGCTTCTCTGCCCTTGGCTCCGTTTCCCTTCTCAGTATTGGTAGCCTCCTGTTTCCTGCATAGTCCCTTTCTCCTCCTGTTCGCTGTGCATTTGAGCAGCACCAAAGGGTTGTATGTTTCTATTTTTTGCCAGAGGACCTTGTCCTAGTGGGGTCCCAGTAGATACGTGAGTGGACAACCACTCCATCCCCCCTTTAAATTTGGAGCGAAAACATCTGAGGGGGAAGGTGGAGAAGGAAAGAAGAGTGTTCAACTCAATGGTCAAGACCTCAAAAACAGATTGAAGTCAAAGCCGCCAGGAAACCGGTGTGAGCACCACCATGAGTCAAGACTGCCACCTCCTGGACACGGCTGAAAATGCCAAGTGTTGAGAGTCCCTGGACCATCCCAGCCGGCGTGAGCCATTCTCAGGCTGCCACAGGGAAAACACAGTTGGCAATGCCAAGGTGTTGTCCTTCACCGGTGGGCTTTCTTTGGAGAACTTTCTCTGCTTTACACCCTCCAAGGACAAGAAAGTGGAGGCAAAGGGAAGAAAATCTCCAGACTCTAAACTTTCCAATGCCCAGGAATGTGGGAGCACATGCTTTCCTACACTCCTCCCCCTTTTTATTTTATATTTTTAAGGTTCTGAGGCTGCCTTGATTAATCATTTCTATTTTTTACTTGTGGTTTGAGTCCCATCCTCTCTTGCCGTCTTGGGGCCTCCACTTGTCCTGTGTTTCCTAGTCTTCCTCCTCACTTGATCTTTGTCATTGTATTTAAGAGTTTCATGCTTCAAAGTCTCAACCTCTTGTCCCCTCTGGCTTGCTCATCTTCTCTGGGTCTCCCCTCCTGGCCTAGGTCTGCTGGCTCCATTTTCTTGCCTCCCACACATTGCCTGGCTTCCTGAAATCTGGCTGCTGTCTCAACAAGTCCCAGCTTTCCTGCTGTATTCCTAGTTCTCAGGACCTCCCCCCCGCCTCCCAGCACCTTGCTCTCCTAGCAGTGAACACTGGGCCACCCCTCCTTGGATGGTTGAAATGCTTTCCGTGGCTTCCAGGACTACCTACTCGCCTGGGCTTCCTCTAATTATTCTTTTTCCAGCTCCTTTACCACTCTGCTCATTCCTTAAACATTGGGTTCTATCCTGGGCTCACCCTTCACCCTTTATAGCAAACACTCATCAAGGCCCCCCAGTATTTCTCTAGCCAAATCCATCACCTCTCGTGGGTCCTCTGCCAATCTCTGGTTTCAGTGTCATCTCTCATCTGAATAACTACAGAGCCCCTAACAGGCTTCTCTTGGCTCCACATTTGCCACACAGGGGTCAGGAGCTTATTTCCAATGATGCCCTCTCCCCTCACCCCCTTTGGATAAAGTTCAGACTTGGCCCTGCCTCATGGGCCCAGCTAATCTTTCTAGCCTGGTAATCTCATCTCTGTCCATCTCCGGAGCTCTTGGAAAGTTCCTTCTTTTCTGTGAATGGGAGGGCCACACATTCTCTTTTTTGCCTCCAGAACTTTGTCCTTGTTATTTCCTCTGCCTGAAACATGTTTCCGCCTCTTCTTCCAGGTAATTAGTATCCTTTCTAGTGACAGCTGAAATGTCACTTACCCTGGGCAGTCCTCCCTAAGGCTGGGCCCAAGTAGGCACTCTCCCTCTGTGGTCTGTACTATGTTTCCCTCCCGATTAGAACCATTATCACTCTTCTTCTGTTTGCATCTGCCTCTAGATTGTAAATTTTGTGGTGGCAAGATAATATCTGCCATTTATCACAACCTCATCTGTAATGGCTAGCATTGCAACAGGCACAAACTAATACCACCTGAAGGAATACTGACTGAAGAAATGAGTAAATGAGTAAGTAAATGCAGATGTTTAAAATCCTCTAAGCTTTTTCTCTCATCTCCTGGTGTACCAAGACAGAGAACCTGAGCTTGGGTAAGAAGAATGGACTGTGGGTTCCCCCACTGTTTTAGGACAGCCTGAAACCACTGATGGGCTTCTCTACTCTTGAGAAGCTGAGGAAACCATGGGTAGAGCAAGGCTCTCATTTACCCACCCTCTGGTTCTAGCCTGATTATTCTGGCTTTCCTCCCAGCATCACTTGCTAGGATAAACTGGCCAAGTTTTTAGTAAAGGTCAGCACCTCTCCTGTGCACTAAATCTCAGGGGAGCAAGGAGCCTGACATGGGACTTGATCCATCCCAGGACCCCGGGATCATGACCCGAGCCGAAGGCAGATGCTTAACTGACTGAGCCACCCAGACGTCCCATGTTTTCCCCTTTATTAACAACAACCTTCTCTTATTCTTCCCTCTCCTGATGCTGGCCCACTGCTCTCCTTGCCTATAGTCCTGTAAAGGCTCTCCCAATTTCTCCCATTCTCTCTAGGACCCCTTCCAACTGACCTTTGCCCTGTGACTCCACCAACAGTTTGCCAAGTCATGAATGCCCTTCACCGTGCTAATATACCACTCAGTTCTGAGTTCAGTCCTCATCTTGTACAACCTGTCAGCAGCATCCTTCTATCTATTCCCTTCTCCCTGGAAAACTTCTTCCCTTGGCTTCCAGGTTGCTCCTCACCTAGTTTCTTTTCATGCCATTGACTCTGAATGCTGGAGGGTCCTGGGGTTCGGCCTGTGAATCCCTCTCTTTTCTTTCCACTCTCCCTGAGTGAACTCACCTTGTCTCATGGTCTTGAGTGACTTCTGTGCTCTTATCCTTCTGGTTTAGATGTCTTGCTTAAACTCCAGATTTAGCTGCCTCCTCCGACACCTCCACTTGAATGTCTGTTAGGCATTTCAGCTCCTGCCCAAGACTCAGCTCCTGGTCTTCCCTTAAAGCCTCTTCCCCACCCCAGTTTAATGGCAACTTCATCCTTCCACTTGTTAGGGCAAAACACCTTGGGCTCATCCTTGGCCGCCCCCCCCTCTAGCCCCCAGCATCTCTGACCTCATCTCCCCCTCACCCACTCTGCTCCATTCACCATGTTCTGAAACCATGCTGGTATTCTCCACCTCTGAGTACCTTCCCAGAGAGCCACATGGCTTGCTTCTTCCTTCCACCTTCCACAGGTTTTCCTGTAACCATTACCTTCTCAGCAAGCGTGGTTGGCTGAGACCTTGAAGATATCCAGGTCCTAATAACCTGGAACCTGTGAACATTATAAAGCAAAAGGGACTCTACAGATGTGATTAAATTAAAGATTTTGAGATGGAAAGATACCCTGGATTATCTGGGTGGGCTCTAAATGTAATCAGAAGTGTCCTTATACAAGGGAGGCAGAAGGAGATTTGACATAATGGCAATGTGACCACTGAAGCAAGTGGCTACATTGGTGGCTGTGACGATGGAGGAAGGAGCTACGATTTACCATTGCGAGAAGTGCAATGGAAGCTGGAAAGAGCAAGATAATGGATTCTCCTCTAGAACCTCTGAAGGGAGTGTGGCCTTCTTACACCTTGATTTTGGCCCAGTAAAACTGATTGTGGACTTAAGAACTGTAAGAGAATAAATGTGTGTTGTTTTATGCCACCAAGTTCATGGAAATTTATTATATCAGCAATAAGATACTAATAGTTAGGTCTTCTTCTAAAATTGCATCCCCTCCTGCAACGAGCCATCCTCCTTTACTTTCTCTTTAATACCTATCAACATGTAATATACCCTAAATTTTACTGGTTTATTGTCCACCCCACCTGCCCCACCTACACAGTTAGGCACCAGGGATATCAGATTGTTTTGTTTCTTGCTGTACTCCCAGGGATGAGAACACTGCAAAATCTGCAGCTTGTGCAGTCCTTCCCTCCTGGGCTTTCTCCTGCCTCTCTGGCCATGTTCCTGTCCTTTAATACTCACTCCTTTTCCTTCATTCAAAGTGCAAATCATTTGCAAATGCAAGTGCATAAGGCGGCTGGTAGATAATGTAAATGGGGGGTCAGAGCTCCTGGCTGGCTGTGTAGCCGGTGTGCAGAATGAGTGGAAGGCTGTGTGCTAGGGTCTCTCGGGAAGCCGGAATTCTTGCCCTGTTCAGAGGAGGTGGCCACCACTTCATGTCAGCTCTGGCAGACCTTCCAGATGAAATGTGGGCCCAATGATGCCATTTCCAATTTTCCAAAAATTTTATCTGAAATCTCCAACTTTCTAAATGCATATCCTATTTAAAAAATAAGCCCCATTTTGCCACCCCTGCTTTAACACATTGCTGCTCCTGGGGACCTCATTCTCAACCCTTCTAGGTTTACAGTTTGCTAAGGCCTTTGCTTCCACACCCACAGTTTCAACTGTCCTCTATACACGTGGGTGAGTTCCAACTCACTTCTGAGCTCCAGAACAATGTAATCAATTACCTGCTGACAGTCTTTTTCACCTGAGACATGTCCAATTTGAAGTTCCTAAAGTAAGTTATCATCTTCCTCCTACAGCTAATATGCATATAGTCTTATCTTGGTAAATGACCCCAGTGTTTACCTAATACCCCATCTAGAAACTTCAACTTCTCCTCCCGTCTCACTTATCAGATACAAAATCCTGCTGATTTTGACAGACTCAGTATTTCTCACATCTACCCCCATGTACCAGCCGGCTCTCCAAAGCCATCACCTTTTAGCCGGAGCATTACAATTACTTCTAGCTTTTCCTTTGACTGTACACTGCCACCAGAAAGCGCGGACATATTCTAATGATGCCACCTTCCTTTGTCATACAACCATTCCAAAAACATGTTCTCATGACACTGGTTCCAAGGGATATGAATAGTGTTGCTTGATAAAAACTTTTGTGGTAACACAGATTTAGAACAAAGAGTTTAAATACAGCTAACCTTTTTTTTCCCCCTCCATCTCTGTAGGACTTCTCAGTCTTTTGTATGCTAATTATCCTGACCCTAAAAGCACTATGCAACAGTCGGCAGTTTCCTATTTATTTAGCCATGGAATTCCCTGCTCCCCATTGGGCATTTCAAAGTATTAGAACTATAGCTTCCATAATTCCCTATTATCTGCAGGACATAATTCAATTTCTTTAGCATAGGACTGAGAACAAGGACCGTGAAGCTAGAATATCTGGGTTCAGATTATGGCTGTGCTATTTGCTTAGCTGTGTGACACTGGACAGACTCCTTTTCTTCATGCTGTTTTCTTGTTATCTGTAGTATAAGGATAATAATATAGTATGGCATAAGGTTGTAAGGATTACAGTTACTATTAGCAGCATATGTAAAGCATGTAGGACAGTGCCTGGCACATAGTAAGTGCCTCATAAGTGCTATATTCTTATTCTTATTCTTCAGGGCCTGTCTTCTCCACCCTCCCTTCCCTCCATGAAGGTAGGTCCAGATTTTAACTTCTTTTAGATCCTGGAACTACATCTTTTGCCAACAGCATTACTCCTTCCAGTTACCTCAAATTCCTCTCTAGTCCCTCTCCTTTCCTCTTATCTCTATTAGATCAAAATTTTACATGTTTTCCCAGGCTGACTTGTGCATTTGTACATCCCACAAATATTATCAGGGGGCTATGATATACCTTCCATTTCTGGACGGGGGCGGGGTCAGCCATGTCATAACATTTAATACCCCAACGTCCTGTACATACCAGGGAGTGAAGCTCCTGGCAATTTCTCACATCCGTTTTTCTTTTCTACACTCCCTGTCCCTTCTGTTCCTCACAGGCCCGTTTCACAAACGCTGTCCCCTCATCCAATTACCCATTGGAGTTTAAACTGCTCCAGTCTTCCACCTTTGTATCTCCAGCACCTTGGATAGTTTTTGGCACATAACATACACCCAATACAAATGTGCTGATTGGATATATGCATTTGTCTTGGTCACTGTGCCAAGCCCTCCAATGTCTGCCATGACATGGGACCAGGCACTGTCCTCTCTGTGCCTATTTCCTTAACGGTAGAACAAGCAGGGTGCAACCTGCCTCGCTGCCCTGTGCATGGTTGCATGGCACCCCGCTACAATGCGGTCCCACCTGGCGCACGGCTCTGACGTGGAGAGAGCACGCGCAGTGGGATCTCCTTCCCCGAGTTTTTGAAAGTAACCTGAGTAAGACCACGCGGTGCCCGGCAGGTCGCACTCAGGACTGTGTGGGCACGGCGGCATCCTCTGGTCCCCCTGCCCGCCCGTCGGCCATGCACTCACGCTGCTCGCTGCAGTTGCCTCAACAAGTGCGCGACACGGACGCGGGTGGCTGCGGCCATGGTCATGCAGTCTTCCTTCCAGTAGCCCCTCCTCCGCCCCTCCGCCCCTCCTCCGCCCCTCCGCCCCTCCGCCCCTCCGCCCCTCCGCCAGCCAATCCCGGCCACCGGCCTCCAGCTCCCGCCCTCTCGGCGGAGACTGCCCCCCCGCCCCCATGCTAATTTTCTTGCCCCAGCATTAGCCCTCTTTGGATCAGGACCTTTTTCCCAGGAGTCAAAATCTCAAGTGCCCTACCAGCAGTCCCACCAACCACCTCTGAAATTGCTGTAAAGGTAACTGCTTTGTAGGATCGTGGGTGCTTCCTTGTGTCCCTACTTAAAATCCTTTATTTCACATACTGGGGATATGGGGAAAGGGAAAAAAGGGCATTCTTTTTCCACTGATGCCTTTAAAATGCTACTTTGCCTTCCTGTTTTCCAAATAAATTAAGACATTGCATTTAAACTGTTTTAATAGTAAATAAGGACCTTGCAAAAAGTCCGTTTTTTTTTGTTTTAAAACAGGGCCAGTGTTGTGTCCAACTGCTAAATCTAAAGTCTAAAAACAAACAAACAAAAAAAAAAAACCACAGAAAAATCCCAAAACAAAACAGTAACAACGAAACATCCTGGACAGGTGAGAACTTAAAAGGTGTTAAGTGCTCTAGAATAGCCTTTGATGAAGTTACTATTAAATGGTTTCATCAGTAGTTACAAACCTTCCATGATTATACTATACTCTAGGGCTTAGCAGGGACAAGGGCTCCACTTCCCAGGGGGAGAGTTGATCCATGGTGGCAAAAATTCAACTTTAACTTAATCAGAAAGTATCCTAAGACAGAACAATTGAACATCTGTATTTTTAGTAACATATCATGAAATTTGAATTAATCTTTTCTTCCATAGCAATTTCTAAAGATAACATAAAAATGAGGCAACGCTGAGAAAAGATTAACTCCCAATTTTAATATACTATCAAAGGTCAGACCAAAAACCTGAGCAGAGTAACTCATGGGCATGTAACAGCAGCAAAAAGGCTCTCCTGATTCTAGATCTACTATGAATCCTCCTCAGGAGATACTCATTTTTACAAAGACAAGTTTCAGAGATCAATTAGGGAAAGAGATCCATAAAAGCTATGAACATTTGACCTAATCAAACCAGTTAAGGGCAGTTTGACAAATGAATCAAAGATAACTGTTACAGTAAAGATTTGGTGGGTTTATCTCTTCTTAAAACAGACTCTACCTGAAGTTTTAAAAAAATTGGGGACATAAATGCTGAAAAAGATTTAAGTATTTTCTGGATTAATGAGGATAATTACCATTATTTAGTGAAACCCAAATTTGTAATTTACAGCCAATCAATGTTTTTACAGTATTAAAAGCACCAAATCTTTTTTCAAAGAGACACCAGTTGTACTACACTTTCTATATTGTATCTGATACTTACTAGAAAAACCCATACTTCTTTTGGTGTCACTGAAATCATAAATTACCTGCTTTATGTTTTTTAGAAAGTAAATAAAAATAATCTGAAACCCTGTATCCCCTGGCTTTACTTAGAATTTCTAGCAATGGCCTAAATGTCAACAGTCACACTAGACAGACACACTTTTATTAAAAAACCTTCAGAAGAGTTATTTTTAAGTCCAGTTTTGAAAATCATCTTTGTTCCCTTGTTATAAAAATAATGCAGAAATCAATTTTAAGTCTGAAAGATGACCAACTCTCCCCCACAATATGTCCAAAGTTAAAAAGAAAAAAAGATGTCTGTTTAAATATACAACTTGTTCCCAGTTTCCACCAATTTTTCCTGGATTCTTGTGTCCTCAAATACATCTTTTAATCTCCAGCCAAATTTCTGGTTGTGGGAAAGCAATCTGTAGAGTCCAACATTTATAATACTATCTGGCAGGGAGGGCAGTCTATTCCTTAAACCTCAGTGAAGGCAGCGGCCACCTTCTTCAACAACCCTCCTGCCCCACCAACTCCCCCGTAACTAGACCTTAACATTTAGTATAGCTCTAGGGTTTACAGACGGGTCCGAGGGTGAAAATTACTTCCTTCTCTTTCCTCCTTGGTGCTGTCCTCCTTTCCTCTTGCCGCCCAAAGGAGGCGGCCCAGAATTCATCCTGCCTGCCAAGGCCCGGTTCCTCTTCCCTCCCTGGCTGGGCGGGGCACCTTTCCTTTTGCCCCCAGGACCCTGCCGGCCCCCCTTTCTCTTGCTCTTCTGGCTCATTTTCCTTCTCTTGGCAGCCTCCTCTTGGTCCTCCTCCCTCATCTGTTTATTGGTGGCCCTTGTCACGTCCAGCTGAGGCTTTTTGCTGTTCATCACCCTAAGCAGCTCCAACTGGCTCTTCTTCTCAGCTGCAAAGTCCCCGAAAAGGGGCTGAAACTTGCTCTTCTTGCCCGAGCCCCGGGGGGTCTTCTCTTTGGGCAAGCGCTCCTGGAAACGCCCCACAGAGGCGGTGGACACCTTGGCCACCTGCATGGCGCGGCCTAATTCCTCCTTACTCTGGTGTCCCGTAGGGTGCATGCCAGCCGCGCTAGGCACCTGCATTTTGTGCGCGCGAGCCAGGTTACGCAGGCGGTTCAGCTCATTCTTGGCCACCCGTTCCTTCTTAGCCTGGATCCGCTTGGCGAACTGGTCCTCTAGGGGGTCGGCACCACCGGGCACCTCGATCAACCATTCCTTGGTGTCATCACGGGCGCGCTGATAGCCCCAGCGGCGTCGCCACTGGCCACTCACCTCGTCCCACACCAGATTGGTCTTCTTCTTGGGACGGATGCCCTTGAGGCGCGCGAACTGCTGCCAGCGTGTAAGCGGCCGCGGCCGGGGCACCGGTTTCTCGCGCGGCAGGCGAGTGGTAGGCTCCGGCAGCCGCGCCACCAGCGCCTCCTCCACGCGCTCTGTGGGCAGCTGCCATAGCTGGTTGATGAGCAGTTGCGTGTTGTCCCGCGCCAAGGCCTGCAGCTCAGCCTCCGGCGTGGCTCCCGCGCGCCGCAGTCCCGTCGGGGGGTTCCGGTCTGATGCCAGCAGGTTACCCAGGTCGAACTCCAGCTCTAGCTCCTTGTGCACGGTGATGCGCTGCAGCTTCTCTGCCTCGTCCTGCTCCGCCTTTGCCAGCAGTTCCTCCACGCTCTGGCCCTCCATGGCTCCCCCTGGGCCCGTTCGCTCCGGGGAGACAGTTCAAACCACTACTCTGCCAACGCCGGCTCAAGCCCGGGAAACGCCACCACGTGCGGTCGCCTAGAAGCTAGTTCCGGAAGAGAAAGCTTCACTTCCGGGGCAGCCGGAACAGGTTCGCTGTCCCGGCAACCCGAGAAAAGGCCGGCAGAGAGCGGTGTTGGAGAGCAGATAGGAGGACCCGAGGCCCTTTGACGTGAGCCCGGAGGTAGGCGGTGCTGGTGCAAGGAGCGTAGACTGCAAATTCCACGGCCCAATTGGGACTGTCTCCCAGGATGCGGCGGCGGAGGGGGGTGGTGCAAATTTGGGGCGTCGCGATTTGAGGGGGTCCAGGGGCGACTGTTACCAATTTCAGGGTAAATCAGTTCACTAGAGGTTTCGCTTCTCAGCTTTCTGGGACTACATAAATTTTATTTTTACCAGAGTCTGAACCCTTTCATGGGGGTCTTGGGTGTTGACCGAGAAAGACATTTCCCAAAGATGCACATAAAGCTAGTTGTGGAAGGTTTTTTTGCTTTGCGAGCAAACTTAGACTGCTCTAAGTGGGCACGGGGGTGCGTCCATCCCGCCGAGCCTAGGTCTGGTAGCCCAGAGCCCCAGGATCACATCCTCTCCAGGCTTGTGGCAAAAGATAGCTGGGCTTTGCAGTGAAACTGCCTGAGTTCCACTCCTGACTGCTCTTGGACCTTCGGGTATTTGGCCTATTTTAAAACTAGTAAGATGGGGTGGTAATAGTACCTACCTCTTAGGGCTGTTGTAAGGATTAAATGAGTTAATATGCCTCTAAGGGAGCTTGGTCTGCAACACATGAGCACCCAACAAATGTTAGCTAAATACCAGCTGAATACCAATTATTTACCTTTCTAATCACCTTGGGAGTAAGCTAAAGACCCAACCTTATACAGTGATTATGCACCAGGTTCTTGCATCAAATTACCAAGAATCACATCTAGGTTTACAGTACCTACGTTGGACAGATGGTTTAACCTAAGTGCATTTCATAAGTTGAAAGTATGAAACATTATTTCCTAGTATACAGTAAACAGTAAGTGTTAGCAATTGTTAATCACCATATGCCACAAAAGGAGGCTCAGTGAAGTAAAATGACTTGTCTAAGGGTCTAGGGTTATACAACAAGGAAATGTGGGAGCAGGAATGATCTTAACTCTTGCTTTAAGATGACAGGCATATTCTCTGCAATGTCTTTCAGGCCCTTTATGCACAAAAGCGTGTGGTCGGTTGACCAGCAGCATAGCATCACCTGAGAAGTTAGAATTGCAGAGTCTCTGGCCTCAACCCGGATGTCATGATTCAGAACCTTCATTTTAACAAGATCTCTGGGCGATGAGTATGTATGTCAAGTTTGGAAGGCACATGGCTGATTGTGTGGCTTACAGGTTTGGTTTTGTTTTTTAATGGGAAGTTGGGAATAGTGAAGAGGGGGTTATGCTGGAAAATTACCCATGGAAATGGACATAATAGCCCTTAGGAAATAGATTCAGTCGAGTTTCAGCTAGAGAGGGCATTAGGCACAGTCCCTATTGTACCTGCCCCCTGAGTTTGGTTTCTGGAGCTATCTTTCCTCAGCTTCCCTTTGTTCATTTGCTTATCACACATTTAGTGAGCACATTTTATGCATCAGACAGTATACTATAATCTTCTTTTATCCTCTTTTCTAAAAACATTTTAGGTGGCAGTTATGAATAGAGCCGCATAAACAAAAAACATTTTAGGATTTGCAGGGGTTTTCTCTCTATGTACTCAGCACCAAATCTTTAATACCACTCATATTGTGGGGTCAAGGCTAAGTCAAAGGCCATATTAGGTAACTGTCTTGAACCTCGCCTTGACCACTAAAAGGTTTTGTGATTTGCCTTAGGAGAGTGTTACAGACATTGACATGGTTATTCTGAGCTTGGCTTAGCATCTCATTCATTCAACAACATTTGAATGATTGACATATTCCAGACATTAGAAACAAAGATTATTGAGACTGTGTGGAACAGTAAGGAAGAAGGAAAGGTTAAGAGAAATTTACAATATGTCATGATTGGGCTTTTGACAGGAAGGACACATTTGCTCCTCTTTCAGTCTTCAGAGTTAGGGGGAAAAAAAAGTAAATGTCAACAGGTGTTAAACGGTAAACAGTGAATCCTCACTGTGTGAAATGCTATTTGGTTTGAATCATATGTCAGTTCTTAATTGAACTCTAATTGTTTAATGCTGGCTGAATAGTTTTTTACAGTCCAAGTCAATTTTAATTTCCTTATGATGGAAGACTGATTTTTACTTCCACTTTGGCTATGATAATTCTGGATATATAGTTGGTATTCAATACATAATTGTTTGAACTAATAAACCTATTAAATAGACTTTTCTAAGTTCAAAGAAGGATTAATGTTGGCTGTTAGATTCAAGGTGAATGAGATTAGTAAGATTGGGATTTGTGGCTTAAAAAAACTCTTAGGGAAGTAGGTGAGTGGTGGTCTCCAGCTTGCATTTGTATTATCCTTATGTGAGGCAGGATTTTGGAGTGTCAAGAAAAAAAAAGCCTACCAAAGATATGCAAATATATGTGAGTATATTTTAACAGTACAGGAAATGATCGTACATCTTCTTTTTTTTTTCCCTTTGTCTTTTCTCTTTGTTGGTTTCCCTACCTTCTTTTGTCCCATAAGGCAGTTAGATCCCAAGTTTGGTCATGAGACTCTGCTTTTGTCTTTATACCCAGTTTTATGCCATTTCATCCACACTCATTGTTATCAGCTACCACTTTTGTGCAGTTGGTTCTTAGAGGTACATCTTTATTCCTTTCCTTTTCAGAGGTCCAGACTGAAATCTCCAACCACTTGGTGGGCTCTTTCACAATACTCTAAAGTCAGTATATGTAAGACTACATTACACGTACTTTTCCTGAAAATTTGCTTTCTTTCTTCCATCATCCATCCATTCACATTTTTTTCCCCAACAAAAGTTTATGGAAAACCTTTCATGCTCAAGGTACTGTGCTGGGACATTGGGAGTACAATGGTTAGTAAAAACAGTCTCAGTTGATGTTATCATTCTAGTCTGGCTACTCAGGCCTGAAACTATGATGTCATCCTTGGCTTTTTTTTTTTTTAAAGATTTTATTTACCCATTTGACAGGGTGAGAGAGATTAGAAGTAGGCAGAGAGGCAGGCAGAGAGAGAGGGGGAAGCAGGCTCCTCGCTGAGCAGATCAAGCCTGGGACTTTTTGGTAGCGGAAATTGATAGGGATGATTCAATCTTTAATCCTGCTGTGAACATGGTTATTTTGAGTATTTTTGAGTATTTTTGTCTAGGAAGTTCAATGTGCCAGTAATTTGATAAAATAGCAGAAAGGGGCCCTTCAAATGCTTACATTTTTTCCCACATGGTTCATTTTTACTGATTTATAATTTTAATTTGGAAGTACTTGAAGGGAAAATTTAATTTTGAAAATTTCTTAATCATAGACAAAATCTGTGTATTCATATGCTTCAGTTTTAGTCAGAAACCTATATAAAAATCCATTGTTTTGTTTTACAAATGAAGAGAAGATACAGCATCAAAATTTTGTATAGATAGTATAAAAGCAGATAGAATAATAACTAAACATTGTACATTTGTCTAGTGGGAACTTTGATTTGAGGATAGTAAAAATGATGGTAGCATTTTAGAATTAAGTTGATTTGCTATCTATGAAATATACAACAGTTTCTGTTTTTCAAAAATTGGCAAATGCAGTTTGCCAAGAAAGCTTCATTTCCCAAAATCTTATGACTACCTGTAAGATATGTAAGCACCACTGGCTGATGGTTTTCCTTCATAAGACTTCACTAAATCCCAAGGGAATGAGATTTGTGTTTGGCTCTAGACTTTACCTATATAAGAGATGCGACATAAGAATGAAAGATTGATTTAAAAGAGAAAACTGAAGTTTTAGAACTTTAGGGATATTTGCACTTGAAGAATCTAACAACAGAATTTAGATCTATTTGTTTTAAAAAATATTTTTAAATTTTAACTCACGAGAGTAAAATTGCAATGAGCAAGAAATCTTTTTGTGTTTTTCTTAATTAATAGAGTCTGAACAGTTTTCATAAAACTTTAGAGAGATTTACTCCAGATTAGAGAGTTGAGTCCTGCGTTCCTTTCCCCTAAGGAAAGTAACTTCATTGTCATGCAGATTTCAATTTGTCTTTGCAATTATAACCCACGTATGAACATATATTAATCTGCCAATAAAATTTTTCTGCTTAATTTCCCACATAAGCAATATCAGGAGTACATAATGAAGTTATTGTTATGCCAATAAACATTAATTCTTGGTCCTTCCTTTTTTTTTTTTTTAGGATTTTATTGATTTATTTGAAAAGGAAAGGGAGAAAGAGCACAAGCAGGGGGAGCAGCAGGCAGAGGGAGAGGGAGAAGCAGGCAGAGGGAGAGGGAGAGAAGCAGGAGAGGAGCCTGATGTGGGGCTTGATGTGGGGCTGGATCCCAGACGCTTAACTGACTGAACGCTTTTGGGTCCTTCTTGGTCCCTCTTAACTTAGAATTATTTCTAAACATTGTTAACCCCATTGTTTTTAGACTATGATCTCTGAAAAATAAAAACAATGGATAGAAACACTAAAAATATAACCACATATAGGGAAAATGCTGGGGCCTACAATTTTTCTAGGTGTTTTTTCCTTGTTAAAGAAAGACAGTAAAGAAAAAAAAACTTGTTTTGTGACAAGTAGTGTGACACTGTCCTTGACAGCATCCAGAAGTGCACCACAGCCTCATCTAGGACCCTGTGAGCCACTTGATAATGCAGAAGATCCAGTGCCTGTGGTATACTTTTCCCCAAAGCCTAAGACGGACTTATTATTTAGAATTTAGGACGTATAAATAATGTTCCTGGAATTTTCCAGTTATTATAGTACTTGTCTCATTATCCATGATAGTATGAATTTTCAGCTGGGCAAGCTGACTTCTTATTGTGGGTCCCAGGTTCCCTTCTCTGGAAAGCCTATGGATTTTAGAGGTGAGGCCTTTTAGGTTTCAGGC